ACAAAAGCCATAAGACAAAATGCAGACACAGTAAAAATAGATTATGCCACAAATACCTATTTTTAAACAGCTTTGGGACTGTTTATGGAGCTCTCAGGACTCAGGTAATTTGCTGAGATTTGATTTGAATGGTGCCTGTGTTTATATTTAGAAATAAAAGCAAACTTAAATCTACAATAACGCAATGATGGCAAAATGAGTAAATTTATTATTGGTGATCTTGTTGAGCTCCTGCTGTTACAGATGTGGTAATTTTGAAGCACTTGGATCATGTGTGAGTCTCATTACTGTAAACAAAAATCCTCCATTACACAACTGAATAGCAAACATGCTTTTAAAATCTCAGCTCCTAAAAGTAAAAAAAAAAAATCTTTGAAAAGATGAGGTTTATAATACAAACTGATTTTTAAACTCGAGACTAAATTTTTATAGTCCATTATGGATATTTCCAACTTCATAACAGGTATTTAATGTTAAGGATCTGTTCCTCTGGAAGATATTTTATTGAGCACAAACTCAGTGCACCTCCCACCTCCTCACATTTTAACATTTATAATATTCTCACCAATTCACAGATGCAAGCATATCAAAACCCAGCTTATTTAGACAACTGTCACATCCAGAATGACTGACAATGCTTTCAGGGAAGCAAATTTGCTTCGACTGAAGGTTTTTATTTGAATGTGGTTCAGGTAAATGAGGATTGTGCACCCAGAAACCCAATGAAGACTCCAGATTTTATTTAATATAATCAGTGTAAAGGTCAAGGTAGACAAGCAAGGGTGAGTCTTTAGGCACAGCTGTATCTCCAAGCAGAAGACACAATATTCCTACAACAATAACCTTTTATTAGAATTCTGATGCAATGTAAAACACCCACCTCCTTAAACAAACCCATATTTTAAATTAAAATGTCTGAATGACACATGAAAATTATCAAAAAAAATCATTAAAAAAATAGGAATACTTTTACCAGAACTCTTTTTTCTCTTGCAAATGTTAAACAAGGAGTGGAAGCCCTTCAGATGGCCCCACCAAAGGCACAAATCAGGTGCTGAGACTGAAGCAGGGAGGTTCATTGTCTCCCTCTCCCTCTCAAGGCATATTCTTAGCATGGAAATAATGACAGAGCAGCAACTGATCTGATTTTGATGCAGGAATTCAAAACTAATCCAAAATGTGTGCTAAGAGAGCACGGGAAATCCTCACTAAATACCCTGAGATCCAAAGCAGGAGAACCTTGATCTGTGTCCCTTGCAGTGCTGCAAGAGCAGAGAGAACCACAGAAATCACAGAAATCACAGAAATCACAGAAATAACAGAAATCACAGAAATCACAGCCCAGAGCACCAGGGAGGGCACCAGAGTTTGTGCATATGGGAGAGGGCACTGCTTATTAACATTTCTTAAAGAAATTCAATTCCACTGCAAAAAACTTAGAAACTTAATAGAAAAAAAAACCCCTTAGAATAGTTGGCTCTGTGCAGAAATTTGCTTAAGCTCATTTAGAGAAAAAATTATTCCTGAATTGGTCGTCTTTTAATAATTTCCTACCCCAGGGCCAGGGAAAAGGGCAGGGATTATTGTGCAGCAGAAGTGCTGGGTGCAGATTTTAATGTGATAAATGCCACCCAACGCTGCTCTTCATTCTACCAATATTGGCAAACTTGCAAAATGCAAGTTTATTTTTGGAAGAGGAACCAACACCTCTAGAAACTGATTTCTAATTATTATTTTATAGGCTCTATAAGCAAAGCAATCCACTGAAAGGATAATCTCTCTCCCTAAAATCCAGTGCCTAGAAACAATAAAGGTGGAGTAATGAGCTCAGGAGAGAGAAACCACACAATATTTTTGCACATTGAGAAGTCTACAGAAGAAAGAACACATAAGAGTAGAATAAAATGAGAAGAGGGGGGCAGGAATTTATTATTATTGCTTCCATGACCTGGTAACAAAACCATTCTTACTGGAAAAGTCTGGGGTTGTAATGCAACCCATTAAAGTGTAGCTTTTCATTTCCAGGCTCAGCAAACATAACACAGTTAAACATATTTGAAATGGGTTTTGTTTCTCTGAACCTGTCTGTACCTTTCACCATTTGATTTTTTCCCCAGTGCAGTGTGGAGCCCCTGAGCTCCAGAGGAACAGAGCAGCACTCCCTTCCCTTCTCCACCTCTTTCCCAGCCTGAATCTGACTGGAAATATTTTATAGACGTGACCACGTTAGCACAAACATTCCACAAGGTACCTGTGTGAAAAAGGCAGGCTGAAGAGGAGGAATGACACCTGTTTGTAAGCCTGTAGTAACTGCAGCTCTGTTATCCAAATGAATTCACCCCTCCCATGTTAAACCCACCCACCTAAAGCCAGCAGGGAACACACACAGGGTGGTTTTGGGCTTTTTTTTTTGCAGTTGTGGGGTTTGAGCCAATCTGATCAAAAATGCCACTCGTGCTGATACTACAGTTCATTCCTTTTGAGTTAAATTTCCTTTGGGAAACCACTGGAAGGAAACACAACACAAGCTAAATTTCCATGATTTTCTGGTTGCAGCCACTATGAGGGTGTGAAACCTCTCTTGTTTTCATTTTCACCCTGAGAAGATGCAAACAGAATAAGCAAGTTTGGAAAAAGACAGACCTAGAGTAACACATGAAAAATGTACAGAAAGTGAGTTTCCTGCACTGTGGAGTGGTTCTGGTTCAAAGATTTTCTTTGTGGGTTTTGTAGGGGTTTGGAGAAGGTTTTCTTGCCCTTTTTACCAAGGAATTAGCCAAACTACAAAAATAAGCAAGCAGTTGTTGTTTCTCCTTGCTAAGCTACCACAACTGAACAGAAACATGAGATTGAGTCCAAACAGGCAGAAAACAAGAGATTTTCCTCTCAGACCATGATGTGTAACCAAGACAAGTTCAAACCCAAGACTTTGCTGGACAAGTCTAGCTTTGGAAATAGCAGCCCCTTTATTGTTTTTTTCCCCATGAGTGTCTCAAACCTGGGCTGATTCCAGAGCAGTTCAGCTCTAGGAATGTGCAGAAACCCCAGCAAGGCGCACTGCCCACTGAATTATTCCATTTGCTGTACAATTGTCAATCAACCACATGACCCAGCAAGCCCAGAAATCCCCCAATCTCTTCTTTCCATGCCTTTTATTTCCTTTTTTCCCCCCTTCCACTGAACCAGAGGAGGTGTGGAGTTAATTGTTTATTCCAATCTCACTGGCTGGAGCTCTGCAGGACAGAGTGGCACCAAAGAGGGAACTGCTGTTGCTCCTTCTGAAGGACAGATGTGGAATTTTGTAAATAGATTGTAAATGTGGTTCCAGGTTTTCCAAGCTGTGGTTCTGCTGCTCAGAAATATCACAGCCACATTTTTTGGCACCTTTTGGGCTTGTGGACAAGCTACTCACGAGATGTCACGTGTGGTTTAAACCACATGAGAAAATTTCCATGGAAGTTTACCTGAGGTACTGGACTGGGACTAACATTTATTGCCTCAAAGTCTCAATTTTTAGCTACCCCTGAAAATTTTACCTCCTGGCCTTCTTCTCTTACACAGCACTTACATCTGGCCAGAGTTTGGCATTGGAAGACCCCGTCCTTTTCTCACAGTGAGCTCTCCAAAGTCAATCAGCTCCTGACATTTAAAAGCCAGGCATCACTGGAATATCACCTGACTCAATGAAATTCCAAACACAGAAGTCAAAGTAACTCCATAAACCAGAAAATCAGTCAAAGGGATTTTTAATTAGCTCTGTCCCCTGTTTTTGCTGAGGAGTCCCTGGTTTTGACTCAGGTTCAGTCATCTTCTCGCTTTCCTCAGCTGCAGCAGATTTTGTGCAATCTCCTCTGGTCCCTGGGAAGCTTTCCTTTGTCACCACTTGGTGACCAATACCTCCTCAAGTCACAGCACAGATAATCCATCTCTCAAAATGATATTTCTCAAGATAGGGAAAACCCCAAATTTTGATCGAGGAGTTCTTTCACATCTGATCTGAGAGCAGAAACAAGCCCTGAATTAAGAATGATACTGGAATTGTAGAATTGACTTCATTGTATGAACTTATTTTTATTTTTTTCATAAGATGATGCAAATGATATGGCAAATTAAAAATAATTATGCAATATTAAAAATAATATCTTTCCTATTAAAGAGGGTAATAGAATTTCCCTTTACTCTTCCATTCCTCTGTAAAACATCAGCCAACACGAACCTAAGCCCAGCTCAGTGAGGATCAGGAGGGTAAACATGGCTTATTTATGATTCTTTTGCCAAACATATCCAAACCAAGCTTTTCATTTTATGCCAAATAACTGTAGATTTTGAAGACTGCATTTTTTACTGTAAGATATGTTTCAAATGAAAAATTGAAAAAAAACAGTTACCATAAGCTTTGATGAAAAGTCAAAGAATAAATTCATTTTACAAACTGTGCCACTGGAATATCACAAACAGAGAAGTGAATAATGGAAATGCTACCACTGATGAACTTCTTAAAATGTCCCAAAATCAGCTTTGGAGGAAGAAGGAACTGCTCAGTAAACTGGACAAAGTTCAGTTCAATATTATTGTCTTCCTCAGGAAAACAAAGCTGTCTTAATGTATTTTTACTGTTTAGACTCCAAATACTGCAAGTTTTTACCAAAGCAGAACACACCCAAGAGCAGGGCTTGCAAAGGATGATCAGCTGAACTCACAGCTTTACCTGTTCAGAAGCAAACATTCTTCATGGCACAGCCTACAACGAGTTAATTGTACTCACAGTTGTAAGAACTGAGCACACTTAGAGCAGGGATGTTTAAATGTCCTTAGAGCACACAATAACCTGGAGACAGAGCTGCAGGTTAAAAATGTGCTGACACAGACCGTGCTGGGCTTCACAGGAGCTCAGTGCCCAGCAGCAGCCCAGTGGCTTCCAGTGGGAACTGTTGGCAAATCTTTGCCAGACAACTGGAGCCCGCCGGGGTGGTGATGTGGAGCTGCAGCCGTTCCCTTACCTTGCGCTCGCGGCGTTCGTTTCCTGCGGTCTCTGAAAGCCGCTCCCGACTGCAAGGCCTCCAGCAGACTGTCCATCACTCCTGTCTCGTCACCCTCTGCGAGCAGCAGGAAGAGAAAATTGCATCAGTACAACAGAAAGGAGACTCCAGGAAGCAATGAAAGGACGAGTGGTGCCAAGTGAGAGCCGCGTCTCGGAGCGCGGCAGGGCACGCAACGCCGCCTGCCTCGGGGTGATGCTCCTTTATGTTGGGAAGGCAGAATTAGAAAGGAATTATAAATATGAGTCTTTAGCCAGAAAGGCCAAGGAAGAAATACAAATGAAAGCATGGTTTGAATAATTCAAAGAAACCAGTCTGGTATGCCAGAACACATTCTGTCCCCCAAAAAAACTGAGACCCCTCTCCCCAGCCTTATAAAAAAAAGTCTGAAGTACCCCTGAGATAACTAAAAATATGCAAAAGCAGCGATTTCTATAGGTCACACACAAATGTTACTGTATTAGTATACTTAGAAAGATTGGTTAGTGAAGGAATAGAATATTCAAATGTATAGGTTATATAAGTAATTGTAAAAGAGCTTGCTCTCTCTTGCCTCTCTTGCTATGCTCTCTTGTCACTCTTTTTCCTTCTCTTCTTCTTGCTCCTCTCTTGCCTCGCTTTTCTACGCTCTTGCCTCTTTTTCCAGCTCTCTCACTTCTGTTCTGTTACTCTCTCTCTTAGCTATCTCAAATCTTGAACTCATACATTCATATTTTACCCCCTTTTGTATTGTTCCCTCTGAGCCTGCTTTGAGCTTCATCTGCTGGCTCCTAGCAAGGCTCTCTCTCCCACGCCCTGGAATAAACTACCAACATCTGACTCGACTGTAGAAGTCTCTGCCATGTCCCAGACCGTCCACCCCAGAGTATCTCTTACACCTTTAGGCAAAGCAGGAGCCATCCTGTGCATCCTGTGCAGTGCTGGTGCCATCTCCAGCACGCAGACGTGCCGAGTGACGGCTGCTGGGACAGCCGAAGGCTTCTCTCAAGTGGAAACAAATCAATTTAATCAACCATTTAATCAATGTGTCTGATGACACCGAACAGCACAAAGTTTGATATTGCAGCACAGGGAAGATATTTTATGTGCTGCCTCCCGACTTCATGATTGACTAAATCTTTGGGAAAAAAATATCTATATAATCAATAGCATGGATGGTCTTCAGCTGCCACAAGGGAAGAATGAAGAGGGGATAACCATGCAGTGGAACTCAATGGTTTAACATTTCTTAACAGCTGAATTTTACTTCTGCTAAATTTTTTATTTCCCCTTTTTCATATCCAAGCTAGCTCACAGCTTTTAAATTGCTGGACTTTATGGTGCATTATGGAAATCTGGGTAGAAAAATTACTTCTTTTTATATATTTGAGTCTTTACATTCCTTTGCATTTCAGCCTGTGGATAACAGTTGACAGCAGCATTCAGCAGCATGAGAAATAGGGGTCAAAGAACTGAAAGGTTACAAAACTATTGATGAAAGTCTCTTTCTGTTCCCATATCTGTGTTATAACCCCAAACTGAAATACAGGTTAGACTCAGCAGGCAGGTGGACATTTCATGCACATCTCCCAGAATCCACACTAACATAAATTCCCCCATCTGAGAATGGGAAGATCATTACTTTATGCAAAAGAATTACATTATGGTAAAAAACCTCTGACTCACACAAAGTGCAGGGGTTAAATGCACATTCAAGCTCTCAAGTGTTCAAGTTTAAAAACAGACTATTAAGGATAAAGCTGTTCTCTCCTGGTTCTGTTACATTCAGATTTATTCACTCAAGCCAGATCTGATGTAAGAGCACACCTAAAACACCACCCGGTCCCAATTTCTACAAGCTGATCATTAAAATAACTATTTGATAATCTGAATTATACATCAGCCTGACTCCAACCAATCCATACAGACTGCACAACACATCCATAGAGTTCTCTCCAGGGTAAGGGGAAAAGGAGCAGAACAAGTGCAGGAACCATCCCAGCCTCTGAAATACCACTTTTAATTACATTCCATCTAAAAGCAACTGAAACAACGGAGCTCCTGCAAAACAAATAAGCAAATTAGCTTCTCTCAATTCCCACTCACATCCAAGGCCAGAATTTTCTCTAAACTGTACAGCATAATTATTTTTCTTTGTGCTTCTTATGCTAGCCATGCTTATTCATTGATTTGTTGTTAGCTCTGTATTAAATTTACCTTCAAAATCAAAGGTCTGTGATTATGCTTTGTCCAAATGAATACACATCAAGTTGCTCTGAAACTTTTAATGGCAGTGACTGCAGACCCAGGACTAGTGAATATCTTAGAATATTTAACGTGTAGAAAAATTACAATATTCTTCAATTTTCATTAAAAGTAAAGGTTGGCAGAGTTTATTAAAAAAGACAAAAATCCTTCAATACTTCATGAATGTTTATGCAGCCTTCCACTTTTCTGCTGAGTGAGCTGCTCTACCTGCTAATTACTGCAACTGCCAAAACCCAGCCTGGGCTGGGATGCCAGAATATACAACATAAAACACATAATTAAGGAAGCTGTAGGACAGAACCATGAGATTTTTAACTCCTCAAAGTAAAATTCATGCGAGGTCTGATCTCAGCAGTGCAGCTGAATCAAATCTTCAGGTGGTTAAGTGGGAATGGGACAAAGAACTGCATTTTCAGGGAGCCTTGATTAAAACTGATAAATAAAATTCAACAGGAATTTCAGTTTTTCCCTATAGCTCTGGCTGCAGTTCTTCACACAGGACCAGCTACCTCCTCCATTTGCCTTTTTTACACCACCCACAGCAATTTATGGACACAAAGACAGAAATTGCCGAAAGTTTGAAAACTAAAAACTCATTTCCAACATTTCTGTCAGCAGAAATAAAACACATAATCATTATTTCTCTTTTAGATCTCTTGCATTGTACACAAGGACAGGAGTTTCATCTGGAACAAGTCATTTCCTTCCTCATTGTTTCTTCTCCAAGTTGGCCCCAAGCATTTAGGAGAGAGCAAATGTGTGGAGACATGCAAAAAAAAACCCATATAATTGGCAATTTATTCTGACTGGCCTTAGCAAAGAGCCAGATTCACTGCAGGTATTAAAGAGGACTGCAAAGGCAGAAGGATTCTCAATCATGATGTGTTAACTACGAGCCCCATTTGTTTTAATTTGGATTTGACACGAATTCTGTTGCAGCTCTGGTTCAGAGCTCCAGACTGTGTGGGGGTGTTTTTAGGAGATCACAGAAACACTCGTGCTCCTGCAGCTCCCAGGCTTTACACCAGTGCTACTCAACAGATTTGGGCCACTTTTAATGGTAATAATAAAGACAAAAAATAACTTTCTCCTCCCATATTATTATCATTGTGAAGTAATATTAATACTATATTAGTTATTGTAATATATTATTATATATTAATCCATATTATATAAGTTATTATATATAATATATAATATTACTATATTATTTATATTATATATGATAACATGAATTATATATTATATAAAATTATAATAATAACTATAATAAGATAATTATAAATATATACAGTATATAAGGTATTGTATAATATATGAATATATTTTATATATCATGTTTTATGTAATATATAATATGTAATCATTATATATTAGTTATATATTACAATCATATAATATAGTTAATTATATATATTTTATATAATTATATATATTATTAATATATTATTATATTGTTATATATAATATAATATATTACAAATTAATTATTATATAATACATAATATATTAATATATAATATGATACATTATATTATTATAATATAATACATATTATATAATATATACTATTACTATAAAATTATATTATTATAATATTATTGCTCCTTGCACTGCTGAGAAGACCCATCCTGCACAAGACTGGGAATAACAAAAGGCACTGACAGAACTGAAGGAGCAGCCAGGAGCTCCTGAGCAGGGAATGCCCAAAGCTCCGGCCTGGAGAGGTGAGCACAGACACAGCAGGGATGAAAAGCAGGATTCTGCATTTCCAGGAGCACCAGCTCGATTACAGCACTCACAGAAGAGAAATGACAACTGCAAAAGCTTTTCATACAGCCAGGGGAGGGAGTTCCAACATGAAATGCCCAAGGCAGCACAGTTTCTCTGGGATGCACAGTTTGTTTCCCTGGGATGCACAGTTCCTTTCTCTGGGATGCACAGTTCCTTTCTCTGGGATGCACAGTTCCTTTCCCTGGGATGCACAGTTTGTTTCCCTGGGATGCACAGTTCCTTTCTCTGGGATGCACAGTTTGTTTCCCTGGGATGCACAGTTCCTTTCCCTGGGATGCACAGTTCCTTTCCCTGGGATGCACAGTTCCTTTCCCTGGGATGCACAGTTCCTTTCCCTGGGATGCACAGTTCCTTTCCCTGGGATGCACAGTTTGTTTCTCTGGGATGCACAGTTTGTTTCTCTGGGATGCACAGTTCCTTTCTCTGGGATGCACAGTTCCTTTCTCTGGGATGCACAGTTTGTTTCCCTGGGATGCACAGTTTGTTTCCCTGGGATGCACAGTTCCTTTCTCTGGGATGCACAGTTCCTTTCCCTGGGATGCACAGTTCCTTTCCCTGGGATGCACAGTTCCTTTCTCTGGGATGCACAGTTCCTTTCTCTGGGCTGCCCAAAGCAGCCACCAAGAGATGTGAGCCAAGCTCCTCCTGAGCTCTGGGATCTGGGCAGCCCCANCAAAAGGCACTGACAGAACTGAAGGAGCAGCCAGGAGCTCCTGAGCAGGGAATGCCCAAAGCTCCGGCCTGGAGAGGTGAGCACAGACACAGCAGGGATGAAAAGCAGGATTCTGCATTTCCAGGAGCACCAGCTCGATTACAGCACTCACAGAAGAGAAATGACAACTGCAAAAGCTTTTCATACAGCCAGGGGAGGGAGTTCCAACACGAAATGCCCAAGGCAGCACAGTTTCTCTGGGATGCACAGTTCCTTTCTCTGGGATGCACAGTTCCTTTCCCTGGGATGCACAGTTCCTTTCTCTGGGATGCACAGTTTGTTTCCCTGGGATGCACAGTTTGTT